TATTATTGAGTTTGGATTTGAGCCAATTTATCGAAAATTCATCGCAGATAAAGTGATAATCACCTGCCACTTCTAGTCCATAGCCTCCTCCGCTGTTGTTGCACTTTCCCGTAATAACACCCTTTGCAGTGTTATTGGTCTACAACGTGGTATTCCGCAGGATCCAAGAGTTTGTTTCGCTTTTGGCGGTTTTTTTTTTGTGGTAATTTTTGCGAAAACGGGGAAAAAATTCAGTAACTCTTACTTCCACTGGCCTTCTGTCTTTAGAGAAAACAAAGTTCTATCAACGTGACAAGAAAGAGTATCTGTAAAATAAATCGCTTAACCATTGAGTCACACTATCTTAATGCTAACGTTAATCGTTAAGAATATTTCTTAGGACTATTGAACAAGAATATTTGCCGTCATTTAGCCGTTTTTTATGATCCATTTGTATTAGAAGGACATTTCTACTTGCGGACACTTGTTTCGTTTCCCAAGGGTGTCCGCTTACGGGAGATTCAACTGTACTGCTGACCGTTGACCGCGGTCAGTAGAAAAACGTCCATCATTATTCAGTGCTAATGTATTCAGAACTTTGGGTCCTAGAGTTGCTTTTGAAAGGRCACAGGTGACACGGTGTTACAAGAAGGGCATAGATGTATATGACGCGCGTGGTTTGTTGACAAAATGGCGGCTATTTCCGGTGATTTGCCGGGTAGTAAGTTTCCGGTCCAGAAAGTTGTGCATGTTAACAAGAGAACTTCCGGAAATATTTGCTGTCTGATTGATTTTCTTTGTATTTATCTTAATTTTTTAAAGTAATGTTTGTTTTAAGTATTAGAAAATTGCTGTTTTGTAGTTGGCATTCGCTGTTTCAATTTAAGTTATATAACATGACGATCGGTTCAAAAAAAGTGCTGTTTTACACCTGTTGTTTGAGCTATTTAAGTTTTGTCAGATCTATAGAAAATAAGTCATACGAAAACACAGTCAAAAAATTCTCAAAAAGTCTCCATGAAGTCTCCACGATTTCAAGTGCTAAACAGAGCTTGAAAACCATTGAAATTTGCTAAGTTTGATAGAATCGCGTATCTTGATTAGGCGTAAGGTTGATATCACTACCAGCGAGCTATGCTACAGTTTTTGCCATACAAATAGTGAATATAAAACACACTGAAATATGATTATCAAAAGTACACATAAGCCTATGTTTGAACTTTGTTTTGAACGATTTTCAATAAAACGTGTCTAAAAGAACAAACTCGTGTCACTGTAAGATTATTAAAACTAATCGCGCATTTGTTTTGAATTGGCATGCAGCAGGAATTAAACTGAAAACACTACCCCATGAATACAATAAAACAGAAAACAAGATACCAACTAATGACCAAGTAAGAACTGTTTATTTATAAAACAACTTCAGTCAATGCAAAAACAACAACTTCGGTTTAGCAACAAAGCCGGACATCAGTTCTAAGCTCATTTCAAGTAATTTCAAACAATTAAAACAASTTTTTACTAACCTCTARAGCAGACGAAATTGACACGGACTAAAGCCAGACTGAACTTATTTTATCAAACAGTCCTTCAACCTTTTGAGCGTCCACAGCGACAGGAATCAAAGCAACTCGCCTTTCAGACAATTTCCTTATCGATTTATCTATC